CTGGCTGTGACCAAGCAATGACCTTAACCTTGCCCCTTGTCAGCTCTACTATATACCTGGGAATTCTGATCATTCACATAAACTTATAGGCCCATTGTCTGCCAACCCTATATATGATCTTGGATACACTCCCCTTAAATGGGGAAAGTCTTACTTAGCAAATCCAAATCAAACTCACTGCCATCGAGTTGATTTCTACTCAGAGCAACCATTTAGGACAGAGTAAAAATACCCTATAGGGATTCCAAGGCTGTGAATCTTTACAGAAGCAGACTGCCTCATCTTTCTCTCTAGAGGCTGATGGGTTCGAACCACTGACTTTTTGGTTAGCAGCCAAACGCTTTAACCATTACGCCATCAGAGCTTCTCATTGGATGTCTGAATTTTGTTAAGCAGTGGTATGTCAGAGAAAGAGTTTAAGAAATAGTTTTATGCATCATAACAATGTTTGAGCTAGGAGACCTTAAAAATGTTTCAGTTTGGTGGTTCCTCAAAAATTTAAACAGAAATTACCATATAATCCAGCAATTCCACTCCTAGGCATATACCCCAAAGAAGTGAAATCAGGAATACAGAGAGATACTTTCACCACAATCACTGCATAATACAACGTCTCTCTTCCCACTTTCTTCCTCCCTGTGGTTACCTCTTCCTGTGTCCTTCTTTCCTATGCATTCTTGCCTTCTCAGCTATCTCCCTGTGGAAACATTGTTCCTCTGATCTCCCATGGTTGATTTTTGTAAGGAGTGTACTTGGTGTAAATGTTCACCTTCTATAGCTGTCTACTGTTTGACTGGAAACCATGGGAGTGAGTTCAATTCCACACTTAACCGGTAACTAGGGACCATAGTCTTGGGCATTTCACCAGGCTCTATCTGACCCGCAAGCTTGGCCTTTTTTATAATTTTGAGTTTTGTTCCACATTGTTCTAGGGGCCATAGTCTCAGTGTTTCACCAGTCTTTATCAGACCAGTAAGCCCGGTCTTTTTAGATTTTGAGTTTTGTTCCACATTTTTCTCCCATTCTATCTAAGATCTCCTATTTTGATGCTTTTTGGAGTGGTTTATAGTGGTAGCCGAGCACCACCTAGTTCTTTGGGTCTCAGGGTCATGTACGGTGAGGTTTCCACGGTCTGCTAGTCCCTGGGACTAATTGTTTTCACGTGTCTTTGACTTTCTTCAGTTTTCTTTGCTCCTGAGGAGGAGAGACCAATTTTTGCTTCTTAGATGGCTGCTTGCAAGCTTTTATTTATTTATTTAAAAATTTTTGATTTGGGTGAATGTTTACAGAGAAAATTCATTTTCCATACAATTCATACCCATTTATTTCATGACATTGACTACAGTTCCCACAATGTAACAAACAGCTCTCTTCCCATTTCCTCCGTGTAGTTACCTCTTCCCTGTGTCCTTCTCTTCTATGAATTCCTGTCCCTTGAGCTATCTTCCTGTGCAAATACTACCCTTTTGTTCTCCTATGATTGCTTGTTTTAAAGAGTGTATCTACTTGATGTAAATATTCATCCTATATGCTTGTCCATTGTTTGGCTGGAAACCATGGGAGTGAGTTCATTTCCAGACCTGAAAGGTAACTAGGGGCCATAGTCTTGAGGGACTCACCAAGCTATCAAGACCAGTAAACCTGGTCTTTCTATGATGTTGAATTGTGTTTCACATTGTTCTCCCACTCTATCCAGGATCTTCTGCTGATCCGTTTCCAAATGGTTGATGGTGGCAGCAGGCACCTTCTAGTTCTGCTCTTAGTCATATAGGCTGAGGTTCACTTGATCCATTAGTTCCTTAGACTAACTGTTTCCATGTATCTTAGGTTTTCTTCATTCTTGTTTGCTCTGATGAAGAGAGACCAATTGCTGGATCTCCATGGCCGCTGGCAAACTTTTCTTAAGAGTCCAGTCACTACTCACCAAAGTAGGATGTAGAACAATGGTTACACATTAATGTTTTACCTATACTATTATTCAGGACGTTTGGAATACGAACTAAAATCCCTATTTCTTTAAGAGCTGAGTACCGTAACAAGTAAATATTTGATATGAAGGGATTTTAGATAATAAAGCTCTCAGATCTTTGCTAAATAGGCTGACTAGATATTACTTTCATGAAGTAATTCAGATTTTGCTCCAGGTTCCTATGAAAACAATCCTGTAGTTTATGTGATTAAGCGTTTTGAAAAATGCTTATCTAACTTTTCCTCAAGCCACTGGTTGGTATCATAGCCTAGTCTTATTTGGGAAACCAGTGAGTTCTATAAAATAAGCTTGGTTTTTAATCAAGAGACAATACTATTTTTCATTACTGCTACATTAGGTAAAATTAGTATCCACATCGCGTCTAAAATTTAAATGCCTTTGTTTTCCTTGTACCTAGAGAACAGTTACAAAGGAAACGTCATTTCACATAGCACTTAGTCGCCAAGTTTTTTGAAAAGAAACAGGTCTTTTCTTCACAGTTGCCCTAACCAGCCTGCTTGTCCTGCATCAAGTTGCTCAAACTGTGCTATTAGGAAGCTCTACACTGCTTAAAAGGCCAGGGACTGAAAAGGCAGATTGCACAACTCTTCACCACCGGGTGACTTCGCTTCCAAATCTGGCCTTCATGTCATCCCCAAAGCGGGAGCCGTTCTTTTCTTCATTGGAGCCAGCCCGGTCCCCCTCAAAAGCAGCCGGCTTTTCCATGTCCGAGGCTCGGGCGCCCCTCCCTCCGGTCAACTTCCTCGGGAGAGCACAGGCACGCGGGCACGGGGTTCCCGGCGACCCCACAGTCCGTCAGGGGAGACAGGTCTCTCTGAGGCGACTCCCGTTATCCGAGAACCTAGGGCCACCAGGCCCGAGGGTCCGCCGGTCTCTGAGCCAACCCCCTCCCCCGCGGCCCCATTGTCTGCCTCGCCCCGCCCCGGGGGACACGTGCGCCTGCAGCTTCCCGAGCAAGCAAGCGCCGGGCGGCGCGGCGTGGACACCGCCTGGAACGGCTACGCGGCAACAGCGCCAGGGGCGGGGGCCCGGCGCGCAGAGACCGGTGGGTGCCCTCCGCGAAGCTGCTGTCGCGCACCGCGCCCCCGCCTGGTGCTCAGCTGGTCCCGGACGGGACGGGGGAGGGGCGGGCAGCAGTTCGGTGGGGGTGGCGTGCGCGTGGTACTGCGGTGGGGGGGGGGGGAGGGGGGGGGGGGTGGGGTAGGGAGATGCTTGTCTCCTGACAAAGGAGAACGAGTGGGACACGCTGAGCCGGCCCGCCCCGCCTGGAGGGGGAGCGGGAGAGGGAGTGTCGGGAGGGGAAGGGGCGGGCCTTTCATTCACTCTCGGCCCCTCTGTTGCCGCTGGAGCGGAAGGGCGGGGTCTCGCGCCCACCATGGGGTGAGGAGCTAGGGAGGAGGCTGGGTGCGGGGCGGAGCTCCCGGGCGCGCGTCCCAAGGCGTAGGCTACGTCGTCACGTCAGCGCGGGAGAGAGAAAGAGAGGAGCCGGCTCGGCAGGGACTGTGGGACGGGACCGGGAGAGCGAGCGAGGGAGGGAGTGAGCGAGCGTTTGAGCAAACAAGGAGGGGAACAGGCGGCCACTCGTGCCTGAGCGACCGCGGACGAGAGTGGGAGCAGTGGGGGGGAGGGAAGGAGCAGGGAGGGGAAGAAGAAAGACAGAAGAAGGCAGGCGAAGGCTGGAAGTAGTGGTAGGGGGAGAAGGAGGAGCTGGAGGAGGGCAGGGGCTGAGGGAGTGAGTGAGAGAAGCGGACGCGCGAGGGAGGGAAGAGAAGGGGGGGGTCACGCGGGCGCGCGCGCGCGCACCGGGAGCGCGCTCGGAGGCGAGTGGAACTGGATCGGGTTTGCTGCCAGCGGCGTGAGCTTCGGCCGCCATTTTACAACAGCTCCACTCGCGCTGGACAGAGGGAGCAGCGAGCACGCGTTTCCCGCAACCCGATTCCCTTGGACAGGATTCCTCCGCCGCAGCCCAACGGGGAGGTAACAACCAGCAGTACCTGGGTCTGGGTGGGGAGCTCCATGACATCGTGGAGTGAGCTGGGGGAGGGTGGCGCGGGGAGAAACCGGCTTTTCTGGAAAATGGATTCCAAGGGGTAGAGGAGCACGTTGACTGGGGCTATCTGGGAGTAGGCCGCGGCCCGCGCCGCTACTTCCGTCTCTTCTCCATGTGCTGCTGCTGTTCGGGCTTTGTCTGCGGCGCTACGGGGAGGAGGCGCCTCTGCTGTTCCTTGGCCCGCGTGGATCGCGAGCGGCGGCAGAGTTGGTGCTGTCGTGGCCGTCGCTGCGGCGCGGGAGTGGGCGGAGAGGAACAGCTCCTGTGTCCCGCAGCCGCGCGACAGGCTTGGGTGGTGCTTGGGGTCTGGCGGTCGTTGGGCAGTTCGCGGAACGCCCTCACGCCGCGGAGTTACCAGCCCCAGCGCCGCAGTCGCTGCACCGACAGGCGAGGGGTGGGGGCTTGCAGATCGGGCCGCAGGTCACGTCTCGGCGGGGCAGGAGAGCGACCCGGTCGCCGGCGCCCGGGGAGCGCCTGGGGCGGAGAGAGCCATGTGTCACAGCGGAGACGGCGGCGCTGGGGGGCGGGGAGAGCCTGTGGCCAGGCGCCGCCGTGGCCTCGGTGTTGAGAGACGAGATTGTATTGCTGCTGTTTTCTGGGGGCTCTGACCACGATTTCGGGTTGATGTTGGGAGCCGGTGATGGTCGTCTTGGCGTGGGACTCGGTGGGTTTTCGTTGAAGGAAGTTGTAGGACATCTGAAGGCGCAGAGCACGTGTTTCTAATGGGCGGTGAGGCCGCCGCTCTGGGTGCGGAGTCGAGGGCGGCCTTTTGGGGTGCGGGGGTGAAGAGTGGAGAAAATGGGTGGTGGGAAAGGTAGCTTGTGTGAGTGCTTTGTTCTTTACTGACTGTTGTTACTGATTTATAAGCGGCTGGCGGGAAAAGCGCGCACTTTGGGGGTTTACCTTTGAGAAGGAACAAGCCCAGTTTAGCTTTCTCCACACACCTCGTTCTTGTTACCGGCACAGCTGCATGTGGCACGCTGGCGCGTCCTGGCTAATTGGGCTCTTATTTGTAATAGGGTTCTCCTAGGGAGTGTTAGCAGGTGAGTCAGGGGTGGTACTAAGGAAAACCATAGTGAATCGGTCCTTCTGTGACCCGCTCTCTAAATCTGGCTTGTCAGACGATAGTGACTTTAAAGTAAGGCCTCTTGAAAGGAAGGCACAGGCTGGCTGGTGTAGTAAATGGTAGAGAAAGTAAATATTGGGGCTCTCATTTTATCCTCTATTTTTGAAGATTGTAGTTTAATTTTGCTTATTGCGTTTGAACAGATCTCTGGAAACATGGCTACAGAACATGTTAATGGAAATGGTACTGAAGAGCCCATGGATACTACTTCTGCAGTTATCCATTCAGAAAATTTTCAGACATTGCTTGATGCTGGTTTACCACAGAAAGTTGCTGAAAAACTAGATGAAATTTACGTTGCAGGTAAGAACTAACACTTGCAAAATTATATTATGAAATTTTTCTATTGGATTTCTGGCTTTGAGCTAAAATAGCAACTTTTTGTGGTTTCCAATAAGTGTGGGAACTGGAGTTTTGACTTGTTGTGATAGTTGCTTAATTCAGCTTTGAACTACAAGTTAGGGTGTATGAAGGGAGGGAAGAAGGGAGGGATAGGTGCTAAAGGCTGTTTGGCAGGATGGATAAGTATAAGACAGTAGCAACAGCTGCTAATGTTGGGAGCAGGCCATGTGACTTTTTTTGGGGTATTTTTATAGTAGGATTCTTGTTAACTAACTTGGTAACTGTAGTCTTGGACCTTGTCTTTCTTGGTGTGGCTGTTACTTTTTTCTAGTGGTATTTGAAATTGAATAGAGGTTCAGTTGTCATGCTTGGTACTTTGTTGGTTGATTATAGGATTTGTAAGCCTATATATTTTATTGTAGGAATATTTAGTGTTCAGAACTGTCTTAGACACAAAACAAGATATAATGAAGTTGATTCATTGTAAATGTGGTTGAAGTGTTATTTCAGAATGCAGTTCAAAATGGGTAAAGTATGTGTGTTTTTCATTATGTAGATAAGGGGGATTAGTAGACTTGTTAGTTGGCATACATATACCTGTATTGGCCAACATGATCATTTCTAAAAAACATTTTCCAAAAATACCAGAACTTGACAACTTACGAAGTTTTCTCTTCTCCAGGGCTAGTTGCACATAGTGATTTAGATGAAAGAGCTATCGAAGCATTAAAAGAATTCAATGAAGACGGTGCATTGGCAGTTCTTCAACAGTTTAAAGACAGTGATCTCTCTCATGTTCAGGTAATGTTAATTTAATGTCAGTGTAAGAAAAATTATAATTTGAGTAGTTTTTTGTACTTTGTTAAGTGTTATTTAACTGGATGGAGATTTGACTACACTGTTCAACATGATTGGAAAATTTCTTTACAGAACAAAAGTGCCTTTTTATGTGGAGTCATGAAGACTTACAGGCAGAGAGAAAAACAAGGGACCAAAGTAGCAGATTCTAGCAAAGGACCAGATGAGGCAAAAATTAAGGTATGTCTTCAAAATTGCTTCTTTATCTCCTTCAATTTTAAGGTTTTTAGCTATTTCCTAGCTTTGATAAATAGCCCTTGAGTGTGAAATAGTCACACTCAAGGGTGATAAATAGCCCTGGAGGGTAAGATGTTGAGAATTAATATATTGAGATAATTTATTAATCTTTTTTTAAGTATTTTTATTTATTTATTTTAACCCAGCTTTTAAAAAAAACCTCAACTGCCATTGAGTTGATTCGACTCATAGCGACCCCTCCTTGGGTTTCCTGGGTGGTATCTCTATGGAAGTAGGTTGCCCAATCTCATTTACTTTAAATTTGTGCTAATTGGTATTCCAAATAAAAATTTTAAAGAAATACATCCGTTGTATTTCTAGACACTATTCGAAAAACTTCCAGTCCAGCTTAAGTGTTCTTGAACCTTAAATAAATTTTAACACTCTTTTTTTCCCCTCTTACTAGTATGGGTTATTAAGTTGTTTATTTCTAAAAGTAGTATTTAAGAATAAAATTATTTAGTATGTAAATGAGGAAACAGTGGGAGTGAAAGTTTTTTTTTGAATATTTTATAAAAAACTAACCGCAAATTCAACTAGGTTTTGATCTTTGTGTTGGTTTTAACTTGGTGTTCTTAATATAGCCTGCCAGTGCTCTTGAACCAGGGATTATGGTTTAAGAAAATCAGTGAGGCATAGGTTGTTGGGTGGTGATTTAATTGTATGTGAAGAGGGATGCCTTGATTATGGACAAGATTGGAATGGAATATGTTAGACATAACTATAAATTTGAGACTTTTACCAATCTGTTTATGATTGGAGTTAGTTTGAAGTAATTTTTCCATAAAAATGGAGGACGTTTGCCCCATTTGTAATTAAAATACATTTGGGAGTTTGGATTTATTAACATTTTATAAAAGCTTGAAAGTTCAGTTCTAGTGTAATTTTGTAGTTCCTTTCAGTCTATATTTGCAAAGGGATAGCTTAAAGCTATAAAATAGAATTCAAATTGTGGCAAGGAAGGTTTAGAGACATATTTATAAAACATCTTAGGGAGGAAATAGTTTTTTCAGATTGACCAAAAGTATTATTTGAGTCATGTAAGAGTTAAGGAATCATTATAGCTAGAAATCACAGGAAGCAGAGAAGATATGAACTACTCCATGGTTTAGTTTATATGATTGTCATAGATTTAAGTTTTAGTTTTGTTACTAACCCAGTGTTGACCCTGAAGCATTTGAAACTTGTGTGTAATAGAAAAAGATGCCAAAAATAGGTAGCTTTTTGTTAGCCTGTTTTGTTAACATGTAAAAGCATGAACACGTTTATGGGTTTTTTCCCTCAAAAGTAATGATTTTTGGTCAGTAGAAAATGTTATATAAAATATGATCATTTATATTTTTAGACTGAGGTGACCTCAAATTATTTCAGTCTTTTGATAAGTTTTGTCACATTGCTGTGTTTAGCGTGTTTTTATTTCACAATTTACCAGCCAGCTATTTAATTGTTGTCAACTGAGTTGATTCTGACTATTGGTTACAGAATAGAATTGTTTCGTAGGTTTTCTTGACTGTAAACCTAACGGATTGCCAGGCTTAGGTTAATGGTGGATTGCTTTTTAGTACTTTTCTTTGCCTATGAGATAAAGAAATAGTGATAATGAGTCAATAAGACTTGTATAAATTTTGAAAATTCCTTTATGGAGTTAAAATGTAGAACATAAGTCACATTGTTGAAATTTTACGAAGTTTTCAAAATCATTTTGACTCTTATTTTTCTGAATAATCCATGCTGTTTTGTGAAGCATAGTTCTTGAATATGAAATGAAAAAGTTATTTTTACTGTAGCTCCCAAGTTTCTAGACTTAGTTTAAGAACTGTAATTTCTGTAAATGTTGGTGAAATGCCCTGAATGGGGGTGTGTACCTATGGATAGAGTAATCAGTATTGGATAAGAAATCCAGACTTGAAGAGGTAACTTATTTAACTCCTTTCTGAAGAGGAAGAGTCTCAAGAGAGACTTAAAACTCAGCAAGATTGGATGCTGAGTTTTCAGGAGGCATAGTAGTGTTAGACCTTGCCTTGAAAGTTGTTAATGGATTAGTATCTTAATTTTTTATTAGTTGTTTACTAAGCATAATTCATTAACTAATTGAAGAGTAGAAAATAATTTGAGTAGGATCATGAAGTGTTGATTATAAGGTAGGGCTTTACCAAGTAAATGTTAAAGGGAAAATTGTAAAATAGACACCAGAGGTCTCTTTATAAGGAGTGTTGCCAAGACAGTTTGGAAGAATTTGAACCGGATTGACTTGAACTATTAAATGCATGCATGTGGTCTTGTTAAATGTATTGATGACATTTGAACTTTTCAAGGCACTCTTGGAAAGAACAGGCTACACACTTGATGTGACCACTGGACAGAGGAAGTATGGGGGACCGCCTCCAGATTCCATTTATTCAGGTCAGCAGCCTTCTGTTGGCACTGAGGTAAAGAAACTGAAAATTTGTACCTTTTGTAGTAAATGTACAAGTATCTTATTACCTAAAGAAATTCTCCATGGTTTTTACTTCATATTTTGATTTACAGATATTTGTGGGGAAGATCCCAAGAGATCTGTTTGAGGATGAGCTTGTTCCATTATTTGAGAAAGCTGGACCTATATGGGATCTTCGTTTAATGATGGATCCACTTACTGGTCTCAATAGAGGTTATGCGTTTGTCACTTTTTGTACAAAAGAAGCAGCTCAGGAGGCTGTTAAACTGGTAAGTTTTTTTTCCCTTCTGTCTTCATTATTTTCCATGTCGTTTTTTTTCTTACTGTGTTTAAGGGTTAAGCCAGGTATCTTTTGAATTGCTGATAAGTCAGTGTCTTACACATTCCTTATGCACACATTGTATTAGTGTTCAGGATCAATAAGATAGTATGGCAGAATTCCTAGTAATCATTTGTTTGAAACATCTGGCTTAGTGATTTTCATTTTTGTTTTTTTCATTATAGGGATGTAAAAAGATGTAATAAAGTGACTGTAATAGTTAGGGCTTCCATAGTTTCTGTACAGACCTGGTTCTTCCGTATTTCCAAAATATTTCACAAAGACATTATAATTATGTATGTTTAATGAAATAAAAGATTTTTGTGATGAGTGGGTTAGATTTTTACTTTTTTCTCAGCTTATTAAAAGAGGGATTTTTAATGGTTTGAATTATAGGTTATTTAACTTTCTTTCAAATTAATGTTATTAAATTCTATGACTCAAGTGGTTTCTGCATTTCATAGTTTTAGGAAGCCAAGGATTGATTTCAACCTATGAAATATACCAAAAAATATAATTTATATATAATGTATAAGCCTTATTGGGCTTATGTATGGGTAAATCAAAGCAAATTTAAAATCCTAAGACTGTTTTCCCCTACTGAGGAATTTTCCCTTCTTGGTTTACCATCAGAGCTATCACTTGCACCTTAAGACAAACCTTAAGGAAGAAAAATAAAAGAATGATATTTTGTTCTGCTGTTTTGTATTGCATGAATCCCTCCATTAGTATGAGTAATTGAATATGGTAAAGGTTTACTGTATAAAATTATGCTGCTTAAAAGTGTTCTGTAAGAGTCTTTTAAAAGGATTCAGATGGTTAGGTATTTCTTTTTAAATTATGTCTGATTTTTGCCTGCTTAAAAGAATGCTTCCTATTTCAGAGGAGATGTAGCTCTTAGTAGAGCCATTTATTAGAAACCTCTGAGCTGTGTCAAACTTACATTTAGCAGTTCAGATAAAAATTAAGGATTTCTAGAGCTTGGAAAAAGAGGTACTTTATAAATCATCCAGTTTAATAATTTTCTATTAAAAAAATAGAACGTTTTTGTGTAGAGTACCAATAAAGTAATGGTATGTTTTAATGTGAAAACGCAAAGTGATCTGGGCGGTAATGCGCTATCTTACTGAATAACCAGTGATGTCAGATCTTTTTAGTTCTCGAGTTTTTATGTAAAGTTTTAATTTCGTTTAATAGTAAATGGTTACTTGGTTGCATAAGTAATGGTTTGTGTATTAACATTTTTAAAAGGAGTAATTAAACTGACATTTGTAGGTTACTTAATTCTTGGTATCAAAATATGCTAATTATAGTAGGTTCTGGGAATTTCTAGATTCCAGAACACTTAACGGTACATTATTAGAGAAGAGTGCTGGATACTCCAATTGTAACATGATTTTGAGTGACTGGCAAGTACACATGAAATATGTTTCAGTTTAGACAGTTGCTTTGGTTTAACAAGTAATATCTTAAAATTCAAAATTGTAATGCTGTAGGCTGCCTAGTTTTAAAATCTTATTAATATAGCTAGTTTTTAGCTATAATGAATAAATTACAAATAACCAAGCAGCCTTTTGATTGGTCTAGGAACTAATTATTTTCTTCTTTTCTTGTGCTTCTCTGTTGTGATTTGAGTTCTTGTCTAGGGGCATGGTTATTTTTTACTATCTGATGAATAGGAGGCTTTGCATTATGGTGCCTTTTTGAAGGATAGTCCTAATGGTAGTGGTATATATCTAGTGGGATGAATCGAACCATTCTTGTTTTTAAAGGATGCTTTACTTTGGCATGGGTACGAATTGACTCCGTGCTAAGTGGTGGTATTACTTTGGCAAGGGTTATGGTAATAGTAGAACTGGGAGATTTGTCTTTAATACACAGTAACAGGACTAGATTTGAGGAAATGAAGTATTTGAAACATTCTAGAGAAATACAAGTTGATTTGGATATTTTTTGCTACTCTGTATTTGTGAAATTGCTATCCTTCCTGGGAATTACAGGGCAATCCCTTGAGTGCTTATTGGAGCATATTTTAGAAATTATCCCTACTTCTCTATTATATTTTAAGATTGTATTTAAATTACAGTTTTATTTAAGTTGAATTTTTATATTAGAAAGTAAGAGTCATTCTAGTTACATATAAGCAAACGTTGAGAAAATGCTTTTGCATTGTTTATGATCAGAGACGATTGAAGCACCTTCTCTGTTTTCTCATGCTTTAAGTGTCTTGAGGAATATTTCAAGTGTAGATAGTTTATGTGTTGGACCTTATTTTTTTAATACTGATACAGCAGTGGTTTTTGTTCTACATTAAACAGTTGTAGATTTAAAATTTGTATTTGAATTACTTGTGAAAATGGATTAATTGATGTTACTTGCAAAAGAAGAGACATGAAGTTAGAAGCAGCTGCAAACTTAAAGTGACCCTGTTTTTAGCTAGCATATACCTTGTATTTTGAAAAATTCAGCCTTAAAATGATGATAGTCAAGCTAGAGAAGCAAGATCTGAACTTGTGGAAAGAGAAAATAGCAACTGTCACTAGAGTGCTTTTTAAGGGACAAGAGCTGTGGTATGTTCTACATTAATATTTTAAAATGCCATTTCAGCCCTTTCTTTAAGGTAAGTAGAATTGTCTTCATTCTGTAGATGAATGAAAAGGCTGGATGACTTGCCTAAGACCCAACACTTTAGTTATACACTTGTTTTGTTTAGCTTGCGTGTGTGCTAAGTAAAATCAAATCAAATCAGTTGCTTTTGGGTCTATTCTGACTCAGCAATGCATATGTTTAAGTGTAGATGCTCTATAGGAGTTTTAAATGGCTTTGACTTTTTGGAAGTAGTTCGCTAGGATTTTCTTCTGAGGTGCCTCTGGGTGCCTTGAATTTCCAGCCTTTCACTTAGTAGCCTTGTGTTTAACCATTTGCACTGCCTTTTAAGCCAGCAATACAGGATAGCTAAATGTCACCAAATGGTTGGGGTGTTTTTTTTTTTTAAAGTTACATGTGGTTTTGGTAGTGTTAATAGGAGCTTGGGAAGTAAGTTATGTCTCTGCTGCCAAAGTATTTTTTTGTATCTAACCACTCTTCACCATCTTCACTGTTACCATCCTAGTCTAAAGGACCCATTCATCTTTTGCTGGATGACTGGCAAATCCTTCTGACTAGTCTTTTTACCTTTCATAGTTCCTTTACAGTGTACCATTCAACACCTTAGATTAGATCACATTTCCCATGCTGAAAATGATTACCCTTGAAGGAGCCCTGTCTGTGATGATCTTTTGCTTATCTCTCCAATCCCTTCTCCCCAGCTCTTTCTCCTCTTTATTATCTTTCTAGCAATACTTTGCCTTTTTTGTTCTTCAAATCAGAATATAAGCTCTTTTTCTCCCCTGTGTCCCTAAATTTTAGAACACTGCCATAATATATTAGATGCTGGATAAATAACTTGACTGGCTGACCATCTCCATCTGATGCATCATTTATGACAGAAGAATTTATAACATTTCTGTATAGCCCATATGCCATTTTGCTATTTAAAGTTTTGTAGCTTCATTTCCCAAGTTATTGTGGGCCATCATCACGTGAAGGGGTTAGAGTATATTAATAGGTGATGAGGAACTCCCGCTTTCCTTTTCCTCTTAGGCATTATCTGGAAATAAGTACGATTTTTGTAGTTGTCATGAAGACTAAGAAGGGCAGGCCAAGGTGTGTATGCATTCCTGTGGTGTGCTGTTGGAATTTGAGCCCAGAGCCAGTGGTGCTGCAATGGTATATAATGGAAATAACCCTGCTGAAAATGCTAATGGTGCCTCTTATAAACATGTGTATAAATGATTTCTATTTTAATAGTCATTGATGGCTTTATTCACCAAAGTGTACACATTAGCATAATGTGTGTAAACCATTTTGATGAATACAACTGACAACATGGATTCACAACATCCTTCAGTAGCAATTTAGCACATATTTAGTGTGCTTAATATGAAAATTTGCTTTGGACATACTAAGTCATTTGATCCTGTTTTTTCATGAGTTTATAGGATATGAGAAGCGAACTGCAATTAAGTGTCAGCAAGTGGTATAAAAGGTAGAAGAGGGATGAAGGGGTATATCCCTTTGCTTTAGAATTGTCAGAATTCATCGTAATAAAGAGGTTTGAGTGGGATAGTGAAGAAAAATAGGTTGTATTTTTCTAGTTGTTGCACCATTTTGTGGAAGTAAGTAGGAGATAAAAACCATGTGATAAAATCAAAGGGGAAGGTAATCATCCATGCTAGGCTGAGCTGCAGGGTGCTACTAAAGTTTGAGCCTTGGTGTTCATGGCATGATGTAAATGACAGAAGAACAAGGATGCTTGGATAGAGAATAGAACAAACACCAGGAGGGTGTTGGCAGTAAGATGAAGAGAGGTCAATGATTTTGAAGGGATAAATGATAACGCTACTAGTAGTATGCTATAGGATCTATTTGACTTTTTATCAGTGACTTAAGATGTAATTGGGTTGTTCATTCAGCAAGCTGGAATTGAGTTAGGGACAAATGTCAAGTCCTGTACACAATTTAATGAGTAAATTATAAGCTGTAGTGTGAGTCAGCAGTGTGGTATGGTTTCTAAATAAGCTAAGGCTATCATGGAATAAATGTAATAGAGGTGTGATGTCTAGAAGTAGATTACCAATAGTTTCTAGTTTATTTTCCTCAATCTAAGTTTGCATCTAAAATATTAAGAATGTCACTTTTTACGGAGAGAGAACATTGGCAGAGAAGGAATGATTGGCCAAGCATGGTGAACAACTGAGTCATGAAATGTATGTGTAGATACATGAAGCACTGTCGTTTAGGGGCGGGGGAGTGGATTAATTCTTTGTCTTGCGAAAGGTAGAAATAGAATTGATGGGTAGAAATTTTAGTGATGTAAATTTTGGCTCAGTTTGAAGAAAGAGTTTCTAATTGAGAAATGCTTAAAAATGAAGTGGATGGGCTAGGGAGGTAGTGCTATTCTATAAGGAAGTGTTAAGACTAAACAGCTACTCTGGATCAGATTCTAGAGTAGCTGAACTGAGATTGCCGAACTTTTGGAGATTTGCTGATTTACTGCCTACGAAGGAGGGAAAAAATGGCTTAAGATTTTAAGCCTAGATGATAGGAATGTTAACAGATTATAAAATCCTATTTTGGTGTTCTTAAATACTGAAACTGTATTCATAAATGCTCAGAAGTTCAGTTTTTTATATTTGGTCAACTCATTGGTTCTGAACCTGAAAGCTAGGCTTCTGAATCTTATTTTTTAACATGTAGGCCCACCTTCCTAAAGGTGGAAAGACCTATTCACTTTTTTTATTCTTTCATTTTTATACCATTGTAATGTCCTGATGGCATATTAACTTTTTTGATAGTTATAATTTATCAGTGTTAAAATAGAAGCCCCATTAAGTCTCAGAATAGTTTTTTTTTTTAATGCACTCAACCATCTAATTCATTGTGGCCTATGTGCTGGATGAGAATCTTATTTTGTGTTTAAGGTGATAGGTTGATTTTAAAAAATAATAACGAATGAGAAAGGTTAAGTCAGTCAAATATACATACAGGCAGATACTCATTTAATTTGTGGGTAGAATATAGC